CTTATTTAAACCAGGCCAATACAAAGAGAAGGAGATCCACTCTGCAGGCAACAAGCTGACTTGGGTCTGTGAGAGCAATCCCTGAGGCAGGGAAAGGGATGGGGACCTGCTCTGACCTGTAGGGCTCTGGGAAGGGGAACAAATCTGCCCAGAGCCAGAGGATGTTCAAGGGACCAGATCTGACTGTGACCCCTAGAGAAGATGGTGCCTTTGTTGAGGAGGGGCTGGAGGGGCACAGAAGCACTTCAGAGCAGAACAGAGTAACTAATTTCCTTTGCAGAAAAGGCCAAGGAAGGTTAATCACAGCTGGGCTTTGTAAAGAAAAGGAGATTGCACAGAAGCAGGTAGGGGAGGCTGGGGCCCCCTTCCATCAATACTGGGCTAGGAAAGGGAGCAGGATGCAGACTCCTCGGGGAACGTATGGCTGGTCCAAACTGCTTCTTGGGGTATGGGGGCTGGACTGAGCTCTGCCTAGCCAGAGGGAAACTCCTGAAGCCAAGATTGCTTCCCAGCCCTTGTTCTTCCCCTTACCTTCCTCCCATCCTCATTGTTGTGCAGGTTCATGAGTGCTTGGCTGGAGGAGACACCATGGCTCCTCTCTGGGTTGACCACAAAGACTTGAGAGAAGGCAATCCCATAAGACAGGTTGTCAGAGCAGCCTGACCCCTGGAAACCTGCTGAGGGAAAGCAGCCATGAGATGAAGGAGAAGCCCTGAGAAGATCTCCCAAAGGGTTGTGGAGAAGGGATGTGTCCCCTTCCCTGGAGACAGTCTCTCCCATAGATCTTTCCCTCTGCCACCGGCTTCCTGCCACAGCCTTCTCCTTCACCTTCAGGGCTGACTCCTCGGATCTTGTGGTCACAGCCACACTTCTCCAGCTCCCTGCAGCTGCAGGCACAAGTCACAGCAAAAGCAATGCCAGCAGCAGAGATGGCATGGATGAAACCAGCCTCCTGTGTGCCTGCAGCAGGGCAAGAAACTGTACCAGTCTGCGGGGGACAAAGGCACTGATGGGACGTGGTGTTCGAAAAGAGGTTGTGAGTGCACACAGGAAGGATGCATTCAGATGGAGACTGCTTGGGAGAAATACATGGCAGGGTGTTCACCCAGTGCAGCTGTTCCCAAGGCCAGGAGCCAGTAATAGAAGTGGCTCTGTGTCAGGATTGATGGCAGGGTAAGGGAGAAGATCCGCCAATCTGCATAGCTGGTGCCCAGAATGGTCCAGATGGGACCAAAATGCCAAATCTGGCCAAATGGGCAGTAAGTTTAGCCAGAATGTTAATATGTGTGAAAGCACATGCATTTGGTTCAGTTTACTCTCTGTTGACAGACATGTTGGCATGTGGAGGAAGGCACTGGCCACTCTGAGGATGGGTCCAGTGTGACCCTTGCACCCTAGCCCAGGAAAGGCTGATGTGTCAAGGAGACCCTATAGGCATACCAGAGGGACCCCATGCCAACCCTGCCTGTGTCACCTGCCCCTCACTGACCTTGGATGGCCATCTTGCCAAAGGCCTGCAGCCCCTGCAGGGTGGAGCAATTCCAGCGGCGAGAGTGAAACTGCTGTTGGCACTCCTGGACAGCCAGCTCCACACCTCGCTTCACTGCATCCATGGCTTCCACCTGCCACTGGCAAATGAGGAGCTGCTTTTCTACCAACCCCATCAGACCATCACAGCCCTTGGGGTCCCGGAGGGACACCTGCAGGGAGGTCTGCTTGGCCAGGTACCTGTGGGGCAGGGGAGAGATTCAGTTTCAGGTGTGCCAGAGCCAGGGACATATGTCTGCAGGACTAGCCCTCTGTAGCCTTATTTTAGAGCAGAAATGTTGCAGGGCAGGGGAAGTGCCTCCTCTTGTCTGTGCTGAATTGGACATTCCTCATCCCCATCCTGGTCTGCATCTCTTCAGCTTTACCATCCCCCCCCATCCATGCTCCCAGAGATGCCCCTTCTAATGTGCTGCCTTTTGGCTGCCCAAATTCCTTCTTCCACCCTTCTATCACCCCATTTTCTTTGAAGGCAGCACCTGCCTAGGTGACTTTCCAACTCAGACAGTACAAGTGCAAAGCATACTCACAGCCAGGTCACGGCAGTGACGTGCTACATGGGGATCTGCACTGCATACAGGCACACCACCTCCATCCTGTCCACGGCAAAGCTCCACCACCTTCAGTCACGGTGCAATAGCCACCTCAGTTCCCTCTTGTGGCCTCCCATGGCCTCTGCCTGATAGTTGGTTTCCCAGCAGCTCCAGCCCAGCACTGCAAAGCAGGGACAGCCCCTGACCATGGGCTGCCCTGGTGTGCCTGCCAGCATCAGAGACCCAATAGCCTGCAGAAATCTCCTGGGCTGGCCCCGAGAGACTGTCCACACCAGTGCTGTTCTGTACTTACAGCTTGGGCAGCGTGGTGGGAGAGCTGTGAACTGGGGCTTCAGGGTGGGCATCCACCACAGGGAGCTCACACTGATGAGAAGAGGATCAGTGTCAGACCCTCGGCCTCTGCCATCCTGTCAGCAGGTGATGTGGTTGCCTTCCTCCACAGTCCACTCACTTCATCAGCAGGAAGCAGCCCAAGATCCAGTAAGCAGCAGACAGAGCCTTCTACACGAGAAGAACCTGGCAGCATCGAGCAACTGTTGCTAGACCCATCAGGTCATCACTGTTTTTAGGAGACAGAGAGTCTCCCTGCAGCAACAGCTCTTGGAATCAGAGATGGGAAGACCTACTGCCTTTCTCATCCTCAGCCACTGTTCTTGAGGACACTCCCTCATCTGCCTCCTCCAGGCTGGAGATTCTTCTTTTCTACCCTGCAGCCCGCATAGCTACGGCAAACAGACACAGCCAGGCTTCTCCCTGGCTCTCTTAACTCTTTCCCTGGCAGGTCTCCCTTTCCCCCCTCATTTTCTTCCCCAAGGACAGTCCTTGCCCTTCTCATAATGGGCTGGCTGCCCCTTTTCTCAACAGGTAGCCCTTTCCTAAGATCCTCTGGGAGCCCAGGAAAATGTGAGTTGTGTGACCAGGGAGCTGAAATGTCCTGGAACAAAAGCCTGCCATTCCCCCAGCCAGCCTGGGAAGTGCCAGCTGTCTCCACCACCCTGGAAAGTAAAACTCCTCATACAGCCCACAGATTTCTGCTTTTCCTGTCTGAATCATTCAGAAAGTGAAGCAGGGCTGCTCTGGCCCTGCTGTGGTTCTTCCATAAAGGGACTCACCTCTTTACTGTGTTTTTCCACATTTTCCTATACAAAGAGATCTCAAGAGTACTGGGGTTTACCACGCACCCTTTCAAACCCGAGCAGCCCCTCTCCTTTAGCATGTATTCCACCTTTCTCCTTGCCTTCTAAGCTTCCTGCATCCCTGCTTCTGTTGGGTCCTTGCTCCTGGTTTCTGGAGTCAGCACTGCGGGGCGGTAGGCATGTTGGGATCTGCAGCATCAGGGTGTAACCTCCAACACACACCCCAGTAATCTGGTCTTACCTGCTGCTCACTCAGCAGTGAGGAAACGCCGGGGGTTGTGCTGCTCTTCCCCACAAGCTGAGCCTCCAGGAGACAGCGAGGGGAAGAGGTGTGAGCCCACCTGGGCGAGGGGAGACAGAGTTCCCGGGCCGATACACCGAGACCCAGTGAGGTGAGTGAACCCGGCTCGGTGAGGGGTGCTGTGGGCCTCGAGGGCTCACTGGCTCACGGACTAGGCTAAATGCCACTGTGTCCTCCTGACACATGGAAAAGCCAAGACTCCGAGGCTCAGCCAGGTGTGTGCATGTGTCAGGGGGTGCGAGGGCTGCAGGGGACAGGGAAGTTCCCGTGGAGGGTGTCAGAGACTCCTTCGGCAAAGGACACACCCCCCACCCCAGTATATCTGCAAACCTTTATCAGTGGCAGCGCCTCGACGGGAACTAAAGAGACACAAAAAGCTGTGAGAACAAAGATCCCAGCAACTAGGAAGTGAGAATGGCAGTCTGGTTAAAAAAGAGAGGCACTGAAAGAGGCAGAATGAGATCAGTGGTTCGAGTGATATTGTACCCTCCAAGGATTTACGAGGAACAGGAACATTTATCCCTTGGTGTGTCACTCCCTGAATGAGGAGTCAGCAACAGCAGGCAGGGAGTGCGAAAGTCAAACACCAGCAGGTGGAGGAGCCGAGGCAAGGGCTGCAGAGAAAGAGGGATCCCACCAGCACGGCACCACCTTCTTGGGGTAGCTGTTTCTGGGGAAGGATAACAGTAAGATTAGGAGTATCGCTGCTCGTGTCTTCTTCCAGGTGTGCTGAGACTGACAAAGCAGAAATAGGACTTGAAGCAACATTTTGCCAGATGGGCTCTGCAGAAGGTCAGCTCCCTTCCCAGCTACATGTGGCAGTGCCAGGTCACAGATCTCCTGGTAAATCAGCCCTTCTACTTTATTAGCACTCTGCTCTCTGTAGCCTCAAAAATCAGGGACTGACGTTTGTGGCAAACATGCCTTTGTTTGCCACAGGCACCAACATTTCTTCAGAGCTCAGTTCTTTCTGTGACCTTGCCACATGCCAGCAGTGCACAGCCGAGCACCCAGGCAGGACTTCAACCCCAAAGCACCCGAGCCCATGAGAGTGACAGGATTCCAAGTCTTTGTGGTGGCTAGCAAATAATCAACTTTGCTCTCACTTCCTGTATTTCACTTCTACCTCCTGTTTAGCAATATTTTGGGAAAGGGGATATTTCAATTTTCCCTTGTCAATCCTGGGGGTGGCTGACTTAGCAAGATAAGCAAGAATTAGGCACTATGACCCAGGGCAGGTCTCCTCAGTTGCAATGACACCTGGGTGCTGCTTCTTTCCTGACTACATTTGCTGTTATAGGATGTGGTTTAGCTTATCAGCCATAGATAACAAAGTTCATGCTTTGTGGCCAGGCAGAAATGCATCAGGAAGTGAAAAAGCAGAAGAGACAAACTGCAGCGTGATGTAGAATCAGCCATAGCGTTGTAGGGGGTAGCTGTGATTTGGATGAAAAAAAAAAGCCGAAGAGCCTGCCTGGTTCTGTTGTGATCCAAGCTGCTTGCAGGTTTGGTGCCTGGACTGAGACCTCAGCAGTGGGAGCGACCAGCAGCCAGTGAGCCCGTGTGCACCCTTGGCTCTTCAGCAGCAGAGAGGTAAGCCAGATGGAAACATCTGGGGAGCTGGATGGTCTGAACACCTTGGGTACTGGTCCCCATGAGCTGCTGTGCATGTGCTGCCAGACCTGACCATGGGGCACTGGGGAACATCTGCCCCTTCTTCAGTTGCCCAGAGGACCTAGAGGCAAATCGCAGTTCAAATGGAGGCTTTCTTTGGGATCCTCTGATGCCAAAAGCACAGGCAGACTGAAGAGCTTACTTACAGAGGTGCCCACATGGCCCTCGGGATACAAAAGGGGGATGACAACTCTAAGGAGTAGGCAACAGCGTACCCAGACCTCAGGAGTTAAATTCGAAGGTCTCAGTTTTAATATGATCTATCTCTCATTAAAAACAAGTCATCCTCCGTCCTGAATGTCTCTGAGGTTCTAATCATCATAATAATCATGGGTAGAAAAAAGGTGAAAAGTGGGAATTAGATGTCACTGACAACAGGTAGAAAGGATCCATGTTTATGAAAAAAAAATATATACCTTCAATTTCTAGAGCAAAGCTGAGAGGGTTTTTTTTTACATTTGGCAAGCTCTTTGTTATTTCCTCTCTTTGTTTTCAGAGTTACTAAGCGAACTCATGACGTTTGCATTTTCAGCTCTGCACCCCAATGTCACATTTTCTGTCTGCACCCCCACAGCATCCACAAGACTCCCCATGGGTTCAGTGACTACTCACTGTCAGAAACACTGACCCTGCACCATGCTCAGCAATATCTTTCAGCTTTTTTTTTTTTTCCCCACCTCGTTTCTCAGCCCCATATTCAGATCCTTCACAATTTTTGTGATGGTAGGAGGCAGTGACTCCTAGTGAGGTGATGTCAGGAGAGAAGATTCCCAGGACCAGGAAGCAAGACCCCAGGCATACATCCCATCTTGGGACATGCCTGCCTGTTCTGGCCCCTGTATGCAAGCACATCTAGAAAAAGAAAATAGAAAAAACCAAGATCCCTTTGGGTTTTGCAAGTCACAGTCTCGGCAGATGATGCTGTTCAGGGACTTGTATTGAAGAGGCAAAAGGATGCCTCCTCCACCTCCTGGGACCCATAAGGTCAGTCACCAAACAGAAAGTTCCTTCAGGATTTAAAGACAGTGTCTTGTTGTGAGGAGGATTATTCAGCTGTGGTACCATTGCTTTCTTACACAGCTGATGGCTTGGTGGCAGCTTTTGTGCAGGGCAAGGAGTACTTGAGGTTCTTTTAGAGGCAGCCACAAAGAACATGGTCTTTGCCTCTCAGACATTAACCAAGGATATTTCAACCAATTTCAGCTATTCTGTTCCCCTGCTGCCAGCCTGCTTGAGCTACCCATACCTTTCTTTTTCAGTGAGGAACAGTCAAAACAGTACCTCCAGAGCTCATCAGAGAAACGCTTTGGTCCCACAGTTTCATGGTTCCAATGAGTCTGCCTGCATACATTTCATTTCAGGTCTCTGAGACCCTGATCATAGTATCTGTTATGGCAAGTTTGAAACTATCAGCTTAGTTTCAATAACATCACCGTAGCATATTTGTTCTTCTGTGTTTCCATCTACCCACTAAAAAAAATCCCCTCAAAACCCCCAATCTATTTTCTGCTCTCAGTGATCTTTGCTGCCAATTTAGAACTCTGCTGTTTATTGTCTTAAAGGTTGAAGGGCTAAAGTATGTAAGGAAAGACCACTTTAAGGTGACAGTGAGCAAAAAAAAATGGACAGGTTTCTTTCACTGGTGTTTATGACACAAAAGCCTGGGAGATTTCTACAGCAGAAACTCACTTTATAGGAAAATTCATCAAAGGACTGTCTCTGATCAAAACAGCAGTAGGAACAGCTATGGAGAAAGATCTACTAAGTGTCTAAAACCACACGGCTTCTACCCCAGAGGTCTGAAAACAACTGGAGGGTGGAAGACCTGACTAACTGTGGTGCAGAAACATTTGCTTAAAACTGTTTTTAAAGGCTCACTAGCAGACTTAATTTGAGAAAAGGCTCTTGGGGGTTTCTGACCAGGGAGTTTGATGTTTTTGCTGAACAAATTAGTAGAAGCTATAATAAAGGGGGGAAAAATCAATTGGCATGCAGTCACGTTTAATTACTGGGGAAGAATCATCACAGCTTTTCTTAAGGGATGCTCTGTCCCATAGTCCTTCCTTAAAAGAGTCAAGAAGCATGTGAACAGTGGCCCATGTGGATTTCCGAAAGGCTTTCGAAAGGGTTCTCACCAATGGCACTTAAAGCAATTCGGAGAAAAGGTTCCTACCTGGATAAAAAGTACCTAAAAGATGGGAAGGAGAATGAAGGTAGATGGTTGATTTTCCCAGTGGAGTTATAAGACACCAGTGCTGGGGCTTGGATTGTTCAACTTATTCATGACAGATGAATAATAAAATAACAAATCTGTTGGAGACATAAAATTATTCAAGTTAGAAAAGATGAGGGTTGGCTGCAAAGAACTGCAGAGATTAAGAGAAGCATGAGTGACAGGACTTAAAATAAGAGCAGAAATTTCAGCTAGCTAAGTGATGGGAAAAACCAAACTGGGCTGACCATTACCCCTTGCAAATGAGGTTTGAGTCTACACAGTTCAGTGTTGTGTACCATCAGTGTTGTGAACGTTTTCAGTACCCCACCACAGGGCTCACAAAAGCAGTAGCAGAAGTGGAAAGGTGCTGAGAAGGGTACCTAGGATGCTCAAAAGTGCAGAACGGCTCCTCTGTAGGGAACAAGTATGAAGACAAGGACCTTTTAGCCTCAAAAAAAAAAAAAAAAAAAAAAAAAGTTTACTGAGTGGGAATATGGCAGATGTTTATAATATTATCAGTGATAAAGTGAAGGTGCAGAGATGTTTTTTCCCTTGCTGCTTCCAGCACTAAAACTAGGAACTGAATGAAATTGTGTACATGGCAGTGGTTCTTCCCCTGACACGTGATTAAGCTGTGTAACTCCTTGGCACTCCTGGCCCTGGGTGCTGTAGATGGTAAATTTTACATCAACTCAAAAAGCAACAGAAAAAAACAGTGAAATAAAAGTTCCCTGAGGACTACTGAATTCAACTGGGTCCCCTTTGCCTCAGGAAATCCCTGGGCTGCTGTATGCTGGAATCAGGAAGAGAACTGGAGGCAGTGTAGCTATGCAATTGCATTGTTCTTAACATTATCCCTTCACCATCCACATTTGAGATGGAGTACTAGTTGAAGATAACTCACCAGTCTCACACACATGAACTGTGCTTACATATTATACTCTCTGGAGTCTTTATCGAATACCTCTTGAAAGTTTGAAAAATAGGTTATCTGTGGAGATAAGTGCCTTTCATCTGACATCTCTCAGGTCTGGGTAGATATATTAAAGCAGGTTATGGTCCCTCACTGAGTCTTGGTCTCACTGACTTTGTCTCAGTCAAGACAAAGGTCTCAAATCTGTTCAGTCTGCACTAATTGCAGAATTTTGGCTCTAACAAAAACTGACATATTCACCTTGAGATTTTTTGAAGCATTTAGTCATTTCACTTGAAACCAACAACTTCATAAGAAGTTTTCATCCACCAAGAAGGGTGAAATTCACTCAGATATAGCTTGACAAACCAGTAGAAGCTTCTCTAAGAAACCTGTCTTGGTGGTGGATCTGCCCAATAACACTAAAGGACGGGCAAGTTGGCAGTTGTTTGCTCTCTCGTGTTGGACTTTCACTTTTGTTTAACATATTGTTGACAGAAAAATATCTGTGAGGTCAGCACATGTTTCTGCCTTCTGTAGATCCTTCCTCTAGATCTGTGCATTGCCCCACAATCCTAGAAGATCTGACATGCTTGTCATACCTGTCAAGTTTTGAGTGTCTTCCTCTTTCAATAGCATCAAACTCACATAAAGGTTTTCTCTAGATAGAAAATTCTACTTTCCTTTTGAACTAAATCACAATCGACATGGACTCTGTGAGGGAGCCCCTACTTAGCCCCTGCAAACTGCTGTGGGGAACTGTGTCACACATATCAATCCCTCCTCCAGTGTGGGTTCCTTCCATGGGGTGCAGTCCTTCAGGAACAGACTGCTCCAGTAGGGGTTCATCATGGTCTTCTCCAGGGGCATCAGGGAAATCCCCCCTCTGGCACCTGGAGCACCTCCTTCCCATCCTTCTTCACTGATGTGTCTGCAGAGCTGCTTCTATCACATATTCTCACTTCTCTCCTCTGGCTTCAGTTGCTATTCTGCAGTAACTTTTTCCCTTTCTTAACTACATTATCCCAGAGGTGCAACCACTGCTGCTGATGTGCTTGGCCTTGGCCAGCAGCAGGTCCATCGTGGAGCCAGCTGGCACTGGCTCTATTGGACACAGGGAAAACTTCTGGCATGTTCTCACAGAACCAACGCTGCAGCCCCTGCCACTACTAAAACCTTCCCACACAAACCCAATGCAGAGAGGCTGATACCACCTGAAGCCTTCTCTAGTCACAGCTATGTTTGTCCACATGAATCCCACGGCCCTTCCTTTTTTATTGTGTAGTTCCTTACCTGGCTGTGTTGGCTGCATTTATGAGATATGAGTTGCTTCATGTTTTGTGGTGTTATAAGCAGCAGAATGAGCTGAAGACATGCAATCCATATAAGCACCACTGGTCCCATGCAAGTAAGAACACCAAAGGAATTGTATGAATGTAAGCAACATAAGGAACTTGAAGTCACTGGGACTAAGGTTTGCGTGTGATGTTTCACGTAGGAAAAGGAGCTAGGGTGGAGTCAGCTCTAACTGTAGTATAATTTTTTTTATCTGAAATGGATGTACAAAGTCCTGTTTCTCTGATATAAAACAGTACCATGTAGTTTCTATTTTAAGTTCATTCAAGTCAGTATTTTTCCTTCAAAATGCTTCTCTCTTCCTTTTCTTTCACTGGAGCCACCTCAACTACTTTCTCTGTGTGCTCATGCTGTCCCGTTGTTGTATGCATGTGCTCTCAGTAGTGATCAAAGGAATGTGCATTTTCTGGGGCTGAGTGATAAATGATTCCATACAACCACATTCTCCATGCTCTGTCTTCTTCTACCATGCAACTACTCACTTTTCTAGCGTCCATTTTTTTAGTCTTTTAGTTTCTTTGTGAGTTCTTGCTGCAGAAGCCACCAGGGTTGTATTTTACCATTTCAAGAGATTTCCTCCTCTAACTTAAACACTTCTGTCTTGGTCTTCCACTCTGACCAGGAATCGTGTTGACAACTGGCAATGATCCTCCATCACATCAGCACCCCCATAACCACTGGAAAGAATTGTTGAACTAGAGGAAGAAGCTGACATGATTGTACAGTACCATCCCTGCCAGATGACCACAGACCAGCAATCCAACACAGCATCAATCAAGAGAGAGATGTGCCCATCTACCTTCCATCTGCAGATGAGAGGAGTGACCTGTCTGTAGCTTCTTAGAGGGGAATGACTGCCCTCATTACTTTTCTTTGTGCCTCCTTAGCTCATCAGCAGGCTCAGTCATCTCAAAGAGACCATCCCCTGATCCCCACTGGGCATGTCAGATTCCAATACGACTCAGACATGCAAGGATTATACCTTCAACCACCACCTCCTCCTGCCCGGCTACATCCTGATATTCATCACAGGCTTGATACTGAATGTGGTAGCCCTATGGATATTCATCCGATACCTGCGCCTGAAGTCTGTAGTCATGATCTACATGTTCAACCTGGCCATAAGCGACCTCACCTTCACACTCCCCCTGCCACTGAGACTCTACTACTATTCCAACCACCGCTGGCCCTTTGGCAGCACCCTGTGCCAGGTCTCTGGCTCTGTCTTCCAGATCAACATGTATGGTAGCTGCCTCTTCCTCATGTGCATCAACCTGGATCGCTACGTAGCCATTGTTCACCCACTTCGCTGGCGGCACCTGCGGCGCCCCAAGGTGGCCAAGCTCCTTTGCCTGATAGTCTGGGTTGTGATCTTCCTGGGCTCCATCCCCACAGCCATAGTCCACAAGCAAAACCATTGTAAGGTACAGAACCAGAACCAGACCATTCTTCTCTGCTTTGAAAGCTTTAGCGACAACATGTGGCAGAATAACCTCTTCCCTCTAGTCATCCTGGCTGAAATCTTGGGGTTTCTCCTGCCTCTCAGCTGTGTGACATACTGCTCCATTCGGATCTTTCAGGAGCTATGCCACTCCAGCCAGCCAAAGACCCTGCGACAGCGGAAGACTGTCCGTCTCCTCCTGGTCAATCTGGTCATCTTCATCATCTGCTTTGTGCCTTACAACACTACCCTGGCAGTTTATGGGATGATAAAGGCGCGGGTGATTGAGGTTGAGAAAGCAACTCAGGGCTCGGTGCGCCAAGTGTTAATTATAACGATGATGATGGCCAGCATGAACTGCACGCTGGACCCCTTGATCTACTACTTTAGTACTGAGGGTTTCCGTAACACCTTCAAGAAATTGCGGCGGGGACAAGCCTGGGACTCAGAGATGGGGACACTTAAGCATCAGGTTGTGGAGAATAAGTCAATCCGAGACCAAGCTGTCTCAAAAGTAAAACTGTTCCAATCTCAAAACTTTGTCCATGCAAATGAATCTTCACCATCACTTCCTACAGCAGTATTTTTGAATGGCCCGATTGAGGACTCAGAAGTTTAACCACAGAAAAGCCATTGCAGAGTCAGCCATGCAGTAACTACAGCAAGCCCGAGGGAAACTGCTCAGGCTAACCTAACAAACTGTTTGAGGGAGCAGAGCAGACTGTAAGTGGGTGAACGTGATGATGCAAAGCTAAAGGATGAAGGGTTGTTTTGAATAAACAGAGATGTCTTGGTGGCACGGTCACAACTGATTCTTTTGGTACAGGAAATGGTAGGGTGGAACAAGGACTTGAAACAAACCTAGTGTGTCTGGGTGCAGCCAGGGTAAATCACTATAGCAAGTCCATCCACTCCTGCTGCAATGGGGATCATCAGAACACAGATATGGTACTCACTGCTGACAAAGTGTATTTACTAGCAATAGCTGAGGGAAACTTTTGACTAGATGTTTCAATTTGAGTCATAGGTCCAGCTTGGGGCACCTAAATAAGTATCTTAATTTTCCCAAAGAATTGAAGCATTTAGCAACCCTTATTGGGGTCAAGGAGCATAGCTGAGTTTTCAGTACTCTAGCAGAAAATACGTTCCTAATTGTATAGAAAGTCACAGACCCTAGCAAAACAATCTTCAGGAGATATGTCAAATGTGCCTGTGCAGCTGTACACACATGCAGCACAATGGCTATACATTTACCTAAAGCAAAATGGCTTGGGAAACACTGGCACACTTAAAAATACAACTGACGTTCCTAATGGCCCCAGAAAAAAAGAGAGGATACCAATATTGTCATCATGTCTGAAGCTCAAGTTGTTGTTAGTGCTTTGCACTCTCCTGTTGCTGGGCCCCTGTATAGGATGATTGATTTCAGGTCTGAGTAATTTTCACTGTTGAAAAGAAATGATGTCACAGAATCAGGCTGTGGTGAAATATAGTTGCTTGCACTGCTTGTACATGCTTTTTCAGCCTGCACTGTATGTGAAAGCCCTATAAATCTCCCCAGAAGTGAGACATCCAGCTGCACACAGGCAGTGCCAGAGGCCCCAGTTATTCACTCCTGCTGGTGACCAAGGGTTGCTTTTCCAATTGCACTGCGAAACAGCCCCTCTGTGGCTTCCAGCAGGTTTCAGACTATCCCAGAGTGGATCCATTGTAGTGGTTGGTTTGGGGGTTTTTTTAATATTAAGGGAAAGGTCAGGAAAAGTGACAAGAAATGTAGTTCAAAGTCCTGGGTTTTAGACATCTAAATAAGCAATGAATCTGTTTTCAAGTCCCTACCTCATGACAGCTGTGGGAATAAATGTATTGTAAGGCATCATGGGTTTGGGTTAGGAGACGTTGGGGTTTAAATCCATTTTTCCCGTCTCCCTTGAAGACCCTCAGATGCAGGTCTTCAAGAAGACCTGCAGAAGATGATGAGCCTCCCCACAGAGACATTCTTGTGTTACAGCCTGCCTTGGGAGACATATGCCCTTGGTAGGCCAGCTCTGTCTGTCCCCTTGCTCAGCCCATGTATCACTTAGCAGACCAACCCTGAAATCCATCTGCAGATGAAGGACATTTAATGGTGCCTGAGGGATGCAGGGAGAGAGATGGAGGAGGGTTTGCAGGGCAGAAGGTACTCCTATTTTGAAAACTCAGGGCTGCCATGTGAATGTGAATCATTTGTGACATTGTGCAGCTGCAAAGGAAACAGAGCTGTGTGCATGCCTTCTGCTACGGTCTGACACTACCCTTCTGTCCTGGGATTTACAGGATAGTGGAGTGATATTACATCAGATGCACTCCTGTCCATTTCCACATCTTCCTCCACCTTCCTCCTTCCTGGGCCCTTTTCCTTGTCCCTGTCCCTCTGGGCCTTTCTCCTTTCCCCAAATCTAATGCTCCTTGCACCTAAGCATCAATACAATGCCTTCACACACTATTTTCTTCCCTGCCTAGAGAAGTTGATTTTTTCTTTCTTTTTAACTTGGCTAGAGTGGCGTCACAAATTCACAGAAAGATCTGAGGGGGAAGGGACATGTTGAGATCTCTACCTCAACTCCCTGCTCACAGCAGGTTGTTGGGGTCAGTGAGGGCTGGCTGCTCCCTAAAGGAACACACCTCCTGAGAGCCAGGCAGAGGCAGAAGCTTACCCAGCAAGGGGAAAGAACCTGAGCAAGGTGAGCAAGGCAGGTATGGGCAGATAGCTGGGTTCAGCTGAGAATCCAGATCATCAGACAAGCTTGTGGTGATGAAGCAGGTCCAAGGTCAAACTAAGAAGTCACGTCAGCATCAGGTTCAGCTCTGGAGACAGTAACCAGAGTGAGCCACAGTCCAGAGATTGCCAGACAAGTCTGTTGTCACATGGTAGGTCTTGGGTCAAGCCAGGAAGCCTACCCATGGGTCTAGATCTACACAGGACATGGTCAGGCACCGGCAAGACTGCTCAGACAGGAGCCAAGGGCAAGAGTACCAGCTTAAAAACAGCACCTGGGGCAGGGGTTCAGCCCTGGCTGAGACTCCACCAGAGTTTCTAGAAATTCTCCCTCCACCAGAGGGAAGAGGCAGCCCTCTATTACTACAGCTACACTGTCTCTGTCTCTGACCTGTCCTCCAAGCTCATACAGCCAAAGCCCCAGGACCACAGAGGATGCGCTTGGGACCCCAAGCTAGTTCAGGTTGCTCAGAGCCTTGTCCAGGTGTCTTCTGAGCACCTCCAAGGATGGCATTTCCTCAGCCTCCTGAGGTACCCATGCCAGTGCTGAAACATGCCCTGGGGAGAGGCTTTTCCTAATGCTCACCAGGAATGTTGCAAGTCGTGGCTGCTGCCTCCTGTGCTTTCTCAGGGCCACGGTGAGCAAAGTCCGGCCCTGTCTTCTCTTGGCAAGTTTGCCAAGTATGAATGAAATATCATGTGGCAGATGCCACTCCTCTGGAAGAGGCTGCTCCTCTGCTGAAGTTACAGTATCCTCCCCAACACACAACACACAACTTCTCAAAAACCACATCAGAAAACATAATCTTTACTTATAGTTTCATTACTGAAAATAGTGGAACTATTTTTACCTGAAACATTTCATAAATATTCAACCTCCATCAGAGGAAATTTAGCTCAAATATTTTGACAAAATTATAAATAACTGAAAAGCTGATCTCTTAATGAATCTTGTCAACCAGTTTAACAGTAAGGAGGGCTGCTGGTCATGCTACACGCAGCAGAAAAAAATCCTGGCTTTGGGTTTCTGAAGGCTTTTCTTAATTGTTATATATAGGCAATGGTGTGCCCAGTTTGGGTTGTTGTGTTTTGTCCTTTGGGTATTGAATCTTTTCAGCTTGGTGGGGGTTTTTTTGTGGGTTTTTTTGTTTGGTTGGTTGGGGTTTTTTGGGGTTTTTTTTTGTTTGTTTGTTTGTTTGTGGTTTTTTGGTGGGGTTTTTTTTGGTGGTTTTTTTTTCTTTTTCTTTTAATTTTGGGGATTCTAGTCAAATTTAATCACTTTGGATTCTGGAGGGGATTTGGGATATTTTTCATGTCTGACAGAGAGAATTGGTGTTAGCTAGGTTTTCTGCTTCTGTGGTTCTGCCTTTGTAAGCCTGATTTTTTTTCATTCCATCACGTGGTGATAAAGAAGAGCACGTGTACATCCTGTCTTTCAGTGAAATGAGTCACTCACCATATCTAGCTTTATACATTCTGTTTAATAAGTATATATAAAAAAAGCCAAACAAGCAAATCTGTAAGTCCTAGGGCATGATGGTGTTCAACAATACCAAACAGAACCACTTAAAAACTTGTGCTTAGAACAACAGGAACTACATGAAGCAGTGGTACTCAAGAAAAGAAAGTTAAATGGTAATATAAGCTTAGCAAAGCCTTTTCAACCTGTCTAGGTGACCCTCTGTATCCCACTGTGACAATTCTTTAATTAGTATTCTTGCCAAATATGCCAGGGGTAAAAGATTACATTCACTGCCTCCCTGCACTTTGTGTCATTTGCAGATGTGAACATTAAACAAATGACTTCTTATCAAGTAAGACTAAACAAGTGATGAAAGGTCAGAGAGGTGGTAAAGGCACACAGAACCCTTATTCTGTATGGATCAGACAGGGTGTATGCAAAAATGCACGCATCCATTAGGATTTCAAGTCTTTTGATTTCCAGAACGGACACATCAGATGCTTCTGGAAATGGTTCCCTACTTGGATGATACATAAATGTACCGTTATGACTATTCATAATCTTAAATTTACTTTATACTTTCCAGGAATCCTCTGCTGTTCTGAGTTCTGTAAGTCAGCTTGAAAAGATGTTTCAGAAGCCCCAGAAAAAGCCAGACTTTATCTTCAAATTGCTTTTAGTACTGTTTGTATTCCTTCCACCACATACTGGCTGTGTGCTTCCCACCGCTTGATGTATTCCTCCAACAAAACATGTATTTTGCATTACAAAATGCCCTGAGTAACCGAAGCTGTGCCTGCTCCCCCCCAGTCACGGGGAGTTGAAATGGATGTCCTCCAGAGGTCCTTCCAACCTAAATAATTGTATGGTTCTCTGACCTTGGGTTTTAGATGCTGATCTGATATCCCAATCATTTTTTTTTCCCAGCTTCTTCATTATCCTTCCCCCTGGAGTTGTTCTCGCTCGGATTACACTTTACGTACCCTGTCTGCCTTCCAGCAGCAGAGTCCTTGGTCCTGTGACTGAGTGCGGTAAAAGCTTCACATTTCATGCGTTGCTTTTGAAGCCTCTCTTGCAAACTCGTGTATTCTGCAATGCTCACAGCATCTCGGCAGAGGCCAGGCTGCCACTGTGCTGATACACTGCTGTGCATCCCGCTGACCGAAACCGTCTCAGGGCTTCCTCGCAGTTTCCCACATTTCCGTGTCATACGCTGTCTCTGCTCTTACGCTGGGAGATATCTTTGGGTGTGGATCACTTTTTTGTTTGGCTTGCGTAGCACTTTGCACACCAAGACAGTGATCACTAAGGGCTCCCAAACAGAACAAGAAGAAATAGTGTATTGTCACTGAAGAACCTGATATGCTGATTTTGTTTGTGGTTATTAAACAGTTTGGATGTGCTAAAGCCAGACGTAGCTACCGCTGCTTTACCTATATGGCTCAGATAGTGACAAGGCTTCCATGCTAGCTGTAAAACCTCCCTGCCCTTCAAACACTGCCACCTGAAGCCCGGCCATCGCTCTCCACTTCAGCCCCTAAAATACGAGGGAACAAGAAGGTACTTTTCACCCAAGAGGGCAAGGGTTGGAGGGAGAAGATCAAACTCTTCACCTCAAAGTGATGGTGAAAGAGCGTTTCGGACCCTGGGAAGTGGAGGAGGGGAAAAAAAAAAAAAAAAAAGAAGAAAGAAAGGCAGGGGCGGTGCTGAGCCCCGCAGAGGAGGAGGAGCCGCTCCCCGCGCTCTCCGCGGCCAACAGCGGCCCCCGGCGGTGCCTCGGGGCCGGACCGGCGGGACCCCTGTCGGGGGGGCTCCGG